CGGAAATCAATTCGCGTCTCTTGTCCCTTCAAATTCCTCCTCTCGTTGACGTTATGGAATTAATTAACTCGCACCATTCATCAAACTTTAGCCATAAAGTTTGATTTATCACGTCTGCTGAAGGAAATAATTTATTAATTATATCAAGAACGCCCAACACTTGGATATCTTAGAAGAATGGGAATGAAACTTTCAATTTACTAAATGACATCAATTATTACTTTTAATCGCCAACGTATATTTTTATTTAATTGACTCATGTTTATTATTTTAATTTATTTGCGCTGAAGATGTTCCCCCCCCCCCCAAAAAAAGGGGCGAAACGTACGAATGTAATATTATACGATTTTATTGTCTCAACATCCGATTCTAACTTTATTATGTAGTATTTATTTTCGAAACATCATTTGCGTGCGACCACCCGCCCTCGACTCTCATAGCCTTCTTTATTAATTTTGATAATTTATTAAATTTTTTCCCCACACTGAGCAAATAAATTACTTACATAAAAGTCTTGGTGCTTTGTAAGATTCTTAAATTATTTATTTTACTTATTTATATGCACAAATAAAATTAATAACGTAACATTTTTTAATTACACGCTTTAACGGTCTCAATAATGAGGCCATTAAAATGTCTCGAGACTTTTAGCTTCTCTTGTGCCGAGGTTCTTTTTTAATCCGTAGACTCTTCGTCTAAAAAAAAATGTGGAATTACTATAAAATATGGAATCGATAAATCTTTGGAGAACGCTGACTTTCGCGGCGTCGAGATTCCAAAATCCTTTTTCCCTCGGTCCCGCGGGAAACGAGCGATACACCTTCTCTCGAAGCTGTCGCTATCCACGCTTAATCGGCCGATCTCTCCTAAAGTTTCTCTCGGCGAACGAATAATTATACCTGATGAATATTCCATTTGATCCGACTCCGTCCTTCTCTGTGCGCTCATTAAGAACCGTCATCTTGAAGTCTATTTCCTTGCTAATGAATCCGCGGTTTCGCGAATTTTTCACTCTTCAAATTTTCATAATCTCCAGAACTTACCTCGTCGCAATTTTACGGGATACGCGAGTTACGAAATTTTTTTTTACGTTTTTTAATCGCCCTTATTTACGTGCCTTTCGAGCCTCGAACTTTTGAACAATTTCTACGACTATCTTTGAACTCGTCCCCTGCAAAGAACTGGAGATATATGTCTCTTCAGTTGTACATAGCTCGGTTCTTCGGAAACGATCTGAAAATAGAGGATCGATATTTCTAATTTAACGATTCGATACAGGGCAAGTACAGAAGGTTACAGGGATCCTTGAAACGGCAATAGCAGAAACGGTGGCCGTGATTGACCGACACAGGACACGAATCCTTTCCTCCCCGAGGGGAAATTAAAGCGGCGAATCCCGTGAGTGCGTGTTATTTCTGCGCATCGATCCTCCGTTTCTCTGTTCATTTCTCCCGTGCACGCCCGCCGTCTTTCCTTTGTGGGCCGCGGTCTATATTTGACCCCACTTGGGCTAAATTAAGTCGTCGTTTAACGCAACCGCAAGTCGTGCCGAGAAATTGCGATTCGCGATTAAACGTGCTTTAATTCAGCGGAGATTCTTCAATTGAGCCTCCATGAGATTTCCGCCATTACGTTTATGAATTAATTTGTTTTCCGTTAAACTTGACTATTTATCGGTTTTAATCGATAGGTTATTTCGTGCCTTTTGACTCCGGAAGAGTTTGCAATTCCAACAGTACACCAATATATAACGTTGTTCACTGATTTTTATTGTTTTTGAAATTCAATATTACCGCTGCATTGTCAACGACGTGCAGTCAAGTAAATAAATTGCGCTTTTCTAATAGCAAATTAGCAGAGATGACGAATGTAATAGGGACAACAGCGAGTCATTATTTGCGAAATTATGAATCGCGGATTTACGAGGGATTATTATTATTAATTATCAGAAAAGTTATTATTTGGCTTTTAAAACGTGTCAATATTCATTCCACAAATCAAATTCCAAATTTTCAAGATATTCATATTGAATTGAGCATGCGTTTATTCAGATAGCGTTTGATATTGCAGTGACGTTCAATTTGCAAGAATAAATTAATGAAAATTGACAGAGAATTATTGCCGAATGCCAGAGACGATGGAAATAACGCGCTTCTGTCTTTCGTACGGGGAAGGTCCCTGTCCACTGGGCCACGGTTCCCGGTTTTGTCCCACACGGCGTCTTTTTCTCGCAATCAATTTTCTCTCCCGGCGTGCAGACACGGAGGTCCCGCCGCCAGCTGCACTCGTCGTATTGCGATACAAGTATCAAGTAAGCATCACACCGGTCGCTCGCCAGCGGGTGATCCATTATGCATAAGCGCGCTCGTTTCGGCCAACAAAGAGCCTTGAGCTCCTCGGGAGCGACTCGTAAAAGCGAGCCACCTATCACGCGAGAAGACCGATGCGAGCCCGGGGTAATGTCGGCGATAAATAGCGCGGTTTATGCGCCCTTACGCCAATTCCGCCCGCGCCCGCCGCCCCAAATCGCTCGAAATAGCGAGCGCCATTCCGCGAATAGCACCGGCTTTTTCTTTCCGGCTCAATTCTCACCCTTCCCCCCCCCCCCCGACAGCTGACGTTTCACTTCGGGACGTTCGCAGATTTTTAACCCCTTCCTTTTCGGACACGTCGGCGATAACTGGCGGCTCTCAGCCGAGCCTCGCTCCCTTCGCAAATCGCCCGGGCAGGTCAGCCGGTATCCTCGCCCGGGATCCGCCGATTCTCTCGCGGGCGGGCGATATTTCATTGAGAACATCGGCGGGAAACTCTCGGCCCTTCCGTTATAGATTTTTCAGATACGAGCGTAATAACATTGGCGATAAAACAGCGCGGTTTACACGCGCCCCTGACATTTTCGCACCTCCCGTTTCCGCCCCCGCCCGAAATCGCTCGGGGGTGGCGGGCGGCGTTTTATTCAGAATCCCGCGTGGGGTTACGCCTCGACCGTTTTATTTTAGGTCCCGTAGGTAAATATGGGCACAACATTGTTCGGCAATAAATAGCTACCCTTATGTACGAGCCAGCGCGAATTCGTCCACCCTCGCTCTGAATTACCGGAAATAGCTGTGGGTCTACGGCTTCTTCCTTCTGCGTCACTGTCACGTTTACGGGCAACAATTCGTTCGGAAAGTTACGAAATTTAACCCCTTCGCTTCCCCAGCTTGCACAAATATAGATAAATGGGATCCTCGCGCACGTCTCTACGCGATTTCCACCCCCGCATACCGCTCGGAACAGGCGGAGTGGCGTTTCATTCGGAAACGCTGGGAAAGTTCGGCTCCTCCGTCCCGACCTCTCCGGCGAATGTGGACACGGTAATATCGGCGGTAAATAGCGCTCTTACGCGGATTCCACGCCCTTTTCTCTTCTCGAATTGCTCGAAATAGCCGGTAAATAGCGCTCTTTTACTCGTCGGCTTTTCGTTACAGGCGACTATTTCGGTTCTCGGACAGTTAGCATTTCATTCGGAACGCTGGGAAATTTCTTATCCTCGCTCGTTTCAGTCCCGCCAAAGATGCGGTAATACCGATGATAAATGCTCGTCCTTACGCGCCCTTGCGCGATTCACGTCCCCTCGTGTCCCTTGAATTGCTCGGAATAGGTACGCAACACTTTCATTCGGGACACCGGGAAATCATTACTCGTCGATTTCTTATTTTTAACATTTTGTAAATTGTAATATTGTTAAATTAAATTTCCACATAGAAAAAATTAGCGTCAGATCAATTCTTATATGCTCAAATTAACGCGTTCATTGTTTTGTGCATACGCAACAGTTTACAATCTTCTTAGAAGCATTAATTTTACATTCAAACGATATTACAGTCTTATTTAAATATCATAATTGTTACTTCAAGAACACAATATAATTATTTTGACAATAGAGTTCATTTCATTCATTATAATCTTCGATTTGAAAATATGTAACTTTTTATTCAATGTTATTTCCACTCAAGAAAATTATTCTTAAATAATAAGCATATATTTTTCTTGATTGCTTGATTCAAGTAAGTTTTCTTTCTTCAACTCAATATAATTTCATTTCAAGACTTTCACGTTGAAACTAAACATATTTTCAAAAGAAGAATATTCTTTTCTGTCTAAGTATAATTTTTATCCAATATTATTTCCACTCAAGAAAATTATTCTTAAATAATATATTTTTCTTGATTGCTTGATTCAAGTAAGTTTTCTTCCGTCAACGCAATATAATCTCATTTCAAGACTTTTAACGTTGAAACTAAACGTATTTTCAAAAGAAGAATATTCTTCTTTTCTGTGTACTAAGTGTAATTACTAGTAAAATGTTAAATTTCAAAAACTCATTAAATTCTTCGAAATGCCGCGTTGTCCCAGGATTACATGATTTTCAAGATGAACTTTAAGTGAAAATTCTCTCCGTGTATCTCTGTCGAATTAAATGCACAGAAAAAGAAATAAGCGTCAGGTCAATTCTTATATGCTCAAATTCATTATTTTGTGCATACACAACAGTCTACAATCTTCTTAGAAGCATTTAATAATTTTACATTCAAACGATATTACAGTCTTATTTAAATACCATAATTGTTACTTCCAGAACACAATGTAATTATTTTGACAATAGAATTATTTCATTCATTATAATCTTCGATTTTTAAATGTATTATAAATAGATTGACGTAGATAAAATTGCTTCATTCAAGTAAGTTTTCTTTCGTCAACTCGATATGATCTCATTTCAAGATTTTCACGTGAAAACCAAACCTATTTTCAAAAGAAGAATTTTCTTTTTTTCTTGTGCAGCGACAATAACATATACGCGAATTTTAAATACCGGCAAATGTTGTACGAAATACTTTATGCCTCCTTTGTGAATCGCGAATTTACAGTCCCGCCGCCGAGACTCGTCCTTTTACGAACTCCCGGGGACTCGTCCGCTCGCGCACTTTATGTAAGCCATATCTTGGCAAACTCACCGCGGACGAGCGTGAGGATCCCCAGCGGCATCACCAGGATGGCGACCATAAGATCCGTGATGGCCAGGCTCATCAGGAAATAATTAGTAACATTTTGCAACCGCCGCTCCCAGGTGATCGCCAGGCACACCAGGATATTCCCCGCGGCAGTGCCCAGAACCAGTACGAGCGCCAGCATCGCCCACCAATTGTTGAGCTCCTCCGTGTCGCCCTGCCCTTCGGCGGGACCGGCGCTCGTCGTCTCCAGGTCGAGCTCGCTGCTGTTCGTAGTGCCGGCATCCCACAGGGTCAACGAGTAATCATAAGAATCCGTCAGGACGACCCGCGCGGTCGTCGATGTCGTCATCGCTCAGTCGAAACTCTCATCCGCCGAGGCACGCACTTTCACGGCACGCGGGGAACCCGCACCTGAAAGCGCACCATTCAGAATCGTCGTAGGATACCGAGCTCTCGGAGGTCGAGACTTGTCGGAGTAACGGCGGCTCATTTCAAGATTAATGGCCGGGAATATATTGGAGGGCTTGAGGACTCGTTAAACGGAGGGAACGAGGATTTACAAGGGATACGTACGATCCGGTTAAATAACCTAATTAAACGACGTCACCGGCACTGCGGGATTTGAGAAGGGATTCGAGTCTCTGGCCAGGAACAAAATGAAATATTTTAAGAATCAAATATTCGCGGAACGAAGAGCCCGGGGAAGCGGGATATTGAAAACGGAAAATTTAGAATGTCAGGAATTTGCGGAATAAAATTTTGAGCGAAACAAAAATTTTACGTTGAAACTTGCCCCGAGTTAAGAATGTGGCAAATTAAAAATCGGTGGCTCTAGAAAATCCGAAGATAGACTGCGAGAGTATCCGAAGGTACCAAGATTCGCAGTTTTAAAAGTCGAGTTGGGTATAGAAATTCGAGGATATCCGAGAATCGAAACGTAGAGGCACGAGTGAATAAAGGATCCGATGACCTGAGAGAATTCTACGATAACTCAATGACTTAAAAATGTCATACAGCTCTCGTAGATTGCGCGTTCGAAATCCTGAAATATTTTCCTCGAGAGCAGGGGTCAATTATTTTTCCTCGGTGCAGGACGGTAAGATTGCAGAATATTTTCTGGAAGAAGACCCTCCCCGAAGACGGAAGAGGCCATTCCGGCTGCGTCTTCGGCGAATTACGAGTATCGATACCGATTCAATTTCATCGATGCGACTGATCCGATATACCGGATGATATATCGATGGAAAGCGAGGATTACGTGTTCAACAGGTTACATCGAAGAGCGGATCGCTTAAAGGGGGGATTCGCGAATATTATCGCCATAGTTATATGAGCGTACTTTGCAATTTTCCTGCAATTAATCTGCCGTGATTTTCGATCGTGTCGATAATCTCGAAAAATCTTGGATTTACAGGCGTTTCGTGTGTCTCGGGTTGATTCATGGTCCGTGTGGATGTCGAGAGCCAAATGGGGAATAGCTAATGGCTTAAAGATTCAAAAATTTGTGATAAATCGCCAAGTTTCAGCAGTTTCGAGGATCGGAGATATTGGAGTTTTAACGGGTGTTCTTTAAGGAAATTGAAAACAAGAAAGTCGGTAAGCACGTAAAACAGAAAATTTTTAAGGATTCTTTTCGAAATGTAAGAACTTGGAGTAAATTGCTGAAATAAGATAAAAGAAATAAGATTAAATCGATAAAACAAGTTCCAGGAAGTTTATGAAGGCCTTAATAATCTGTAATTTTTATAATTTAGGAAATTTAAATTAAGAAAATTTCAGTAGATTTAATGGAAATTTTTCAGCAATTAAAACTTTTTGGTGAATCTTTCTCAAGATTGGAGAAAATGAGCGAAACTGTTAAAATAGATTAAATCAATGAAAAGTGAATTTCAAGGAATTCAACTAGGACTTTGAGATCTTGGAATCTCTAGTCTTAGAAATTCAAATAATAAAAATCGATTAAAACTCAAATAAACTTTTTCAAAGATTTTTTAAATAAAAAGTTGCAATGATTCCAAACTTTAAGAAATTGACAGTTCTGAAATGTTACAATTTCTATACGATATTTAAAAAATTTTTTAAAAACGAGTTTACTGACGAAACAAATTTTTTTCATCGAGAAGAAGATGCAAATTTTAAGGACAAAAATTGCTAGAATAAATGAAACGAAGAAAATGACTTTAACGAAATTTACGAAAATTCGGAAACGCTGCAGGTTCTGGAATTTTCGCAGTTTCCGGAATTTCAATTGAGCAAGTGGAGTTAACGGAAACTCGGGGAACTAAAATTTGTCGGATGTTTCGGAAAACCGCAGAATCGGGACGCACATTGTTCGATGAACTTTCCTCCATGGCGAACGGACACTCGAGGGGTCCCGAAGGGCTTTCCGCGGTGGTTTCAAACGCGCGCGTCTCTGATAACAGGTCGGGGGTGGCGACGGGCGAGTGATCCGCGGCTCGACCTCGGAACCGAGCGCGAAGGGCGAACAACGCGATCCACGGGGGTTGCTTCGCCGTGGACTACTAGCCCACTGGCTTTCATTTCGCCACCGCCACCCCCACCGGCTGTCTCGCCGGTGCTTCTCAACCCCTGGCGAGAGTATTGCGACGCGCAAGCGTTGCCGCACGGCCTGCCCACATCGGGACACCTGTTCGTCCTTCGTCGTCGCCCCTTGCATCAAATGCACGCGAGATGTAGTGTCTTATTAATAAATAATTGATGACATCGTACTTTCTGTACCTTCCCAGTGGAAACCGATGACATACCCGCATATTTATATGCGATAGTCTTTTTTTTCATCTCTCGCTAGTTTCTTCCTCGAAAACTTAATTCTGAAAATACCGGCACTAAAATGTTAAACGGTTTCGCATGAAATGCGATATGTCATTAAAACTATATTTCTTGGACTTTCACGAGAACATCTTTCCGCAAAACTTGGGAGCGGTAAATTCTAGTGACAAACATCGAGACTGATGTCATCAGGATATTTTTACCGCGAAAGGGAGAAAATAAAATTGCTTATTCTTATAAATACTGTTGGAATGGAAAAATGCACGCAAGTCACTTGGATGAAACAATTCTTAAGAAGTGTCGAGAAAGGTGCCTGTAAAAATTAATACGCAATGCGTATCAGTGATACAACTGGAAAATTAAAAGAAACCAAGATTCCTAAATGATACAGTAAAGAAAAAGTTGACTTAAAACATTACATTATACACACACAATAAATAAATTTTTATTTGACATAAATAAGCTATAAATTGTTTGTCTCTCGAAGAGATTATGATAGGATAGTTTTTAAATTTCAATTTTATTATATAATTGTCGCAGTAACTGCAAAAGTTAATAAATAAAATTGAAATTCAAACTAATTAAAATCAGCGACTTGTGAAGCAATAAGATAATTGACTATTTTCAGATTTATTTAAAATAATTTTGCTTAATTATAAAGGAGATTTTATTTATCGAAAGCGACATTACCAAATGTGCAAAATCGGATTTAGTTGAAAGAATCTCGGTTAATTAAAAATGAAATTGCGTTCATGAACGGAATCAAATTTTGGTTCCTTGTTATGCATTGTTTAACGCACGAAATTGGATTTAATTGCAATAAACGTTCTTTAATTGCATAGTGTTTATTAAAATATGCGTTTGTCAAATGTATCAAATTACGGTTAATTGTAATAATTCTACGTACATGTCTCGTGTATTCTCAGCGAAAGCTAATCCTATTATCTCATTTTAATCATATCCGCGGAATTTAAAGATGCAAAAGGAGTTGAATATTAAAAAGGTATTGCAAAAAATCTCTTTCGCACCCTCATATCTCGGACGATGCGTTTTGCATACTGATATCCATGTTCCTGAAATTAATACGGCTTTGTTCAAGTATCGAATTTACTTTGGCGCCATTTCCGCGATATTATTCCCTCCGATTTTCAACTCGTAAATTCTGTCGGTTTAAATCCCGCTATTTTCGCTCATTATTCGCCGGGACAAATAAACAAATCGGCACGTCATTCATACTTTCGAGATTAATCCGACTTTTTAAAAAGTCGAATCCAAGTTGAAGGCTCTCCCCTTTGCGATATTACGCTCTCCTAAATTCCCCTGTCCCGCTTTTATTATTCTCGCGATAAATAAACAAACCAATAGCGTACACACTCGTATTGTGTGCAAAGGAATCCCATTTCTCTTTAAATTGAATATCGATTTGCAACGCACGGCGCACGAAGGTGTCGTGAGAGAAGGATGCTAATCGCGATAAGCTCGTCGCGATAAATTGGACACGTATAAATGTTCCCGCGAAGAGCGAGTGAAACGGGGAGTTCTCCGCGAGCATTAACAAAACGCAATATAGTTCCGAGAATTGCGATAAAGGGGCGATTTATTGCGCCCTTGGGCGATTTTTTGCTCGCGCGCGCGCGCGCGCGCGAGCGTGCGATTAAAAGACTCGCGAGAGGACACTCCCAGGAAACGAGAACCCACGCTCGCGGGACATCCAGGAGATATCCGGGGATTATTCCGCTGTCGTTCCCGCTGATTCGTATCGCCCGAGATTTCACGCGGTATCGTGTTTTCGTTACAACGCCGTTTGATAAATAAGCCCGTAAAGATGTTTCTCTTTCTCCCACGAAGCGCGACAAAATACACAGCACCTCCTGTTTCCTCGCTGATTTCACTCGATGCGATCCTACGCGTCTATCGGTGCACATTTTCGTGAATTTATTTTACAACCGAACAAATGTTGATCTCAATTACGTTAAGCTCATGAAGTTTCTTTCCTTTCTATGATATAGTTCGACGAGAATTGTTTCGGTACAATAAAAAGACACCTCTTCTTTCCACTTGCAATTTCTCGACGCACACGCGTGTTATTGTTCCGACCTGCGTCTCAAAACTGCGGCAACAGAAATAATAAGTTATCGAGTTTGTGTAAATACCGATTTTAATTGGCATCTTTGTAGAGAGGATCAAAATGTTTTTTGTTCTAACAAAATACATTTAAAAAATTAAATTATATCACTCTTGATTGGATGGCGCTTATACTTGGCGTCTTCTTTTTAGAAAAGGTAATTTTTTGAGGTTTGTCTCGACCGGAGCCCCAAAATTTCTGCGGCAACAGAAATAAGAAGGTATCTAGTTTGTGTAAATATCCATTTTAGTTGGCATTTTTGTAGAGAGGATAAAAATGTTTTTTGTTCGTGCAAAATATATCCAAATAATTAAATTATAAAATTCTTGATTGAATGGCGCTTATACTTGGCGTATTTTTTTTTACAGAAAGGTAACGTTTTTAAGGTTTGCCCCGACCAGAGCCCCAAAATTTCTGCGGCAACAGAAATAACAAGGTATCTAGTTTGTGTAAATACCCATTTTAGTTGGCATCTTTGTGGAGAGGATAAAAATGTTTTTGTTCTAACAGAATACATTCAAATAATTAAATTCTATAATTCTTGGTTGGACGGCGCTTATACTTGGCGTCTGTTTTCTAAGAAAGGTTATTTTTTTAAGGTTTGCCCCCACCCGAGCCTCAAAATTTCCGCGACAATTAAGCAGAGTGCAAACCGCAACTTGGTTATTAAATGCGCTATCACCTTGGCTGGACAACTTTCTCGAGCCAGATTTAAGCCAGCCTTAATCCACTTAGGAATATCCCGGATTTCCGAGCCGAACCCGCGGTCTTGTAAGACCATCGCAAATCGATTACCGTATTTTGTTTGACTTTTTGCACGCTAATTCCAACAGACACAGTTCAAGCGGATCTGTCATATTAATGTATACATATATATTTTTTTAAACGTCCAGTTATTGAATTGCGAATTGCTGAACGGTGGCGTCTCGCACACTTGACGAATTCCGTTCGATTTTGCGAATTTTTCAGAATTATCAATTTTCAATATGACAAAAATGTAATAAACCTCGCTGTGCTATTTTTACTCTTTATTTCCTTATTAAGAAACAATTTAATATTTTTGAAATACAGCGAGCGAGTTCCGTTTTACATTTTGCCGCGCGCTACTCTCGTGGATTTTTCTCGGAAGAGCCGTTGTTATGCATTCTGCGATAAGTTGATATGCGGCGCACGGCCACGCGCCTTCCGCTGCTGCCTTTTATTGGCCTTAAATGTTCACGGCGCTTCTTGCGCCGAAAATTTCATTTCGCGCTCGAATAAATTCCCCAGTGATGGATTAACGCCATTACGCGCGGGGATTTATGTCGCCGGGATTTTTTCGCCCTTTTTTTCTCCACGCCGATTTCTTATCTCTCTTCCAGGATTCGCCCTGGAATTGCGCGGAACCGAAAGGTTTGGCGTGGCTCGGTGGTTCTCAGAATCAAGGATCGTGCAGGCCGAAAAATGGAAGAACGTAATGGATTAATCGAAAATAAACTCGGAAGCGAAGAGGGAAATTTAATTGGAGAACAAAATCGGAAATCAAAATAGAAATCTAATTAAAAGAAATTGGAATTGGAGATGAAAGTATGCATCCGGGCGTGCCCGTCTGTTCGGAAGTTAAGAAATGGAGATTCGAGGGATCCGGGTGATAAATTCTAATAAAAACTTGCAAGATATTTTCCGAATTTGTTTGCCCGGCGTACGCGGTTCCAACTAAACGACACGTCGAAAAGATTTGATTACGTCCAACAAATGAGATACGTTGAAATGACGTTTCTCTGAATCTACTGAATTTTTGTTTACTTCCACTAAAACATTTGCTAGATTTGAAGAAATAGATACGAATTCCCTTAGGCCCGGTTTTTCATTTTCTGCCCTTCAGGAAAATATACTTTAGGAAACCTTAAAATTGTACTTTGAAAGAATAAGAAAAGTAAAGGGCACTTTAAACTTTTGTTTAATGTAAACTTAAAACTTACTTTAAGAATTTCAAAGAAAACTTTCAGAATTGTGAAAAGTATGTGATATAATTTTTAACACCGCGTACGGTTTTCTTCTTACGAGAAAGTGCTATGCCGCGCGGCCCTCTAGCGGGAACTTCGACAGGCTTGGCTATCTAAAAATTACTCTAAGTTTCCAAAATAGTTCTAAAATTTCTTAAGTAAACTTTTCACTTCTTTAAGTAAACTCTAGATTTGAAAGATTACTTTTAAAAATTCAATTTTGCATCCGCCATTTTGCGCGCGCTATTTTTTATATTCTATAAGGATCTTCAACTAGAATTTAGATTCCTTGGATCCTAATAGTATCTAAATAATGTTTTTTTAGCACAGTTGAATTACAGTTGAATGATGTTATTCTTTTAAGTTTTGAATTCTGCTGTCTGGAATCCGCCATTTTAAATTACGAAAATCTGACAACGTATTCGTAATCAGAGACCCCAAAAACTCTTGTACACAAAGTTACACAAAAAATGGTTCAATAGAAAAATGTATGCTTCAAAAGGTTAAGGCCTGTGTCCACGATGCTGGAACTTGGTCCAAGTTAGCTAA